TAGACTGATTTCTGAAGATCATGTGACACTGAAGGCTGGAGTAATGATGCTGAAAATTCAGCTTTGATCACAGAAATAAATTATATGTTTAAATATATTCAAATAGAAATCAGTTATCTTAAATAATAAAAAATATTTCACAATATTACTGTTTTTGCTGTATTTTGAATCAAATAAATGCAGGCTTGGTGAGCAGAAGAGACTTCTTTAAAAAACATTAAAAATCTTACTGATCAAAACCTTTTGACTGGTAGTGTAGGCCTATTAAAAAACATTTTCTAAAGCGCCTAAATGTCAAAATTAGTACAATATATGTGCTGAAAAATTCGAATACTGAACACACTATTGCATTATTAGGCTGTGACTGATATTATTTTTGTGTTGCTGCCTGCTCTAGCTCCCTCCAGTGTTCTGCCTCTGGTGTTCACACTCACACATACAGACACATGTACACATGCTTCTCAAACACTGATGTGGCTGCTTTTAATGCTGTTGGTTTGTGTGTGTTTGAATTTGAATTTGAATAGATAAGGTGACTTGAAAGGAGTTATTTGTGTGTTTATATCACCATTAATACCATATTAGTATCACCATTAAAGGCACAATATCTCAGACAGCTCTTGACTTTGTTAAACTGATATTCTTGTGTAAATACACTAGTAATACTTGTATAAGCAACTAGTAAAGCTGGTCTAGTGTTGCTACTGAGAGACTTTTAAGAGATACACATCTTACGCTCACACATGTACATGCACAAAGGAAAATGAAAACAGAAGCAGGATTAAGAATATGAAGCTTTGTGAAACTCCAGATGTTTAAAATCAAAGTCCGCGAGCTAGCCTTGAAGAGACAGTAAAGACTGAGTGAGTGAGTGAGAGTGTGAGTGTGTGTGTGTGTGTATTCCAGGATGCTGCTGGTTTAACTTCTTGACCCTGACTCTGGAGCTTAAAGGGTAATATCTCTATCCTCCTCTTCTCAGGTCTAGCTGTTTTTCTTTTCAAAGAGAAAGACACACACTGCTTTAAACTTTCCAAAGCTCACAAAAATGTTAAAAGGCCTGCAGGGCAGAGCTGCACTGGAGTGCTTGTATGAAAGGCGATATTTAGTGGGAGACACTGTTTGACTGTAACAGGCCATCTAAACGCTTCAACAAGCGGAGATCTGGAGGACTATTTTACAGTTTATTTTAACGCTTTAAGTTCAGTCACCTCATTCATTGTATTTCCAATGCAGCTACAAGTATCAATCACACAAAGACACTGTTTTATCATACAAATTTTAGGTAAAATGTTTTAAGTAATGTTGTCAGTAATAATTCTATCTGACCTCACTCTGACTCTATAAACAGGTTTGTTTTTTGCTTCTGTGCATTTAAGAACTCAACTATTCTTTGTTGTGCGCTGTAGGTTAGTTATCGGCTCCAGTGTAGTTTTATTTAAACAATAACTGCCCCATTCTTCATAAATTTCTTCAAAGCCTGCATTATATTGTGACAGGTTCACAAAGCAATCCACGTTGAAATGTTAAGGTCAGATTAAAAATGGTTATCAGAGTCCTCCTTGGCAAATCTGAAAAACTTCAGATCGTCAAATCTTAATTGTAACTGAGATTTGAGTCAAAATAGAAACAAAAATAGAAAAACCTGGCAGAAGACCAGCACAAAAATGACATTACCCTGCATTTTAAATGCCGAGAAGAAAGTTGCAGGTTTTTTTTTTGTTTGTGGGTTTTTGCTCGTCCTCAGCAGAATGTAGTATAAATCAACATGCTTACACACGCCAGATGCGCAACCACCAGATGACTACTCTCACTTATCCTCTTCTGGCCACTATTATTCTTTTTGCGATTGCCTGTACATACCTTCCTTGCAGTCGTGTTTGTTCTCATGCAGAATAAAGCCGTTGCGGCACTGGCACACATAGCTGCCAACAGTGTTGATACACTCATGCTGGCATCCACCGTTATCCTTTGAACACTCATCTTTATCTGTAACAAAAAGAGAAGAAAGCGAAAAATAGTTTATTAGGAGCAGAAGACCCTTCTGATTTTAAATTTAAGAAGACCCTTATTTTTATATTTCCTTTGACTGAGACATTCTGAAACTTGCATAAGAGATGATTTCCAAGAGAAATTTAACACTTTGCCCTTCAGTGTATTGATAAATTCTGACACCTGGAGTCTGATTTTGTTTTGTTTTTTTTCTGTAAAGTGCAGTTACAGTAAGTGACTGAGGTTAAATGACAATTAGCCAAAAGAGATGGAGGAAAATCTTGAAAAGAACAGTGAGAAAAGACAAAAGATTCATAGGTAAATTCATTTAAAAGGATTGTCACTTTTCTCTGTGATATTTCACCACAAAAACCAGCCACAATCCATTTAACCACATGCTAAATAAACTGAAACAGAGCAACACCAAATTTAAATTAAAGGAGTCATATGATGCGATTTCAAGTTTTCCTTTCTCTTTGGAGTGTTACAAGCTCTTGGTGCATAAAGAAGATCTGTAAATTTGCAAAGACTAAAGTCCAAAATACTGTTCTTTTTAGCAGCATCATATGACCCCTTTAAGCCACTGTCATTTCTTCTAGCACAAATACCTTCATTTTATGTAAATTAGGCTCATTATAGATGCATATATTAAAGATGTATGCATATATTATAGACCATAATCTGATTCGCATAATTCCTGTAGTTAATTGGGCACAAAAACGACACTCTTGCAAATAAACTGAGATATTAATGGGCACAACAACAGACCCCCTTTTCCCTTTAAAAACAGGAAAGGAAGGAGAGAATTATACTGTATGTTGTTGGGGAAGAGTTAAGTGATTAAGAAAACGTGCTATCATATTTAGTCTGTGTGTCTAATACGTGTAAACTAAATGTCACTTAATGGTTGCATGTTCAGAAACAGCCAATGATTCCTTATGTTGTTGTTTTTTTTTTTTGCTTATCTCTACACCCCCAGTGTCCCATGGGTCAGAAGCCTTTTGGAAGCTGTTATTTCCATGTCTCAGGTTTCGCTAATTATCACACTTCAACCACTGCTCAAAACCACCAGCATATTCATCATACAAACCCAACGAATGACAGATGGAGAGAGAACTAAAGAGACCCAAGACTTTGTGGGTTACCACACGTTTTTCATAATTAATGCTGTTTTCAAACCACATATTATGTCTTGAATGATTTCCTTCTGTTACTGTGCGCATGACGTGCCCTTTCTGTTCAAATGCTTGATCATAAAATGCCACAGTGGAATAATTGTGCCACTTAAAATCATTTTAAAGGTCCAGCCAGCATATCAAAATCTTGCTTTCTTTACTGTGCGTATACAAGAAATGAATCAGCTCTTTCACTGTTTCCAGTTCAGCGCGCTCATTCGGCTTAGTACACACTCATACAGATTAGGAGTGTGTGGGAGAGCTCTGGGGACCTGCCGGCACTGGGCCAGCAAAAATCCAACCTCAGGGACTTCCAGACAATGAGTGTGACGCTATTATAACTCATTGAGAGGTGAGCTTATTCTCTCTCCCACCCAGATACAGCGGGACTCGCTCACCATGCGTATGCGCTAAATGTTCATTCGTGCATTCCATTTATACAGTACAAATATACCCAGAAGATCTAAATACAAACAGATGAATCATAAAATAGCAGATCCTGCCTGTGCTTCAACTTAAAATAATAAGCACAATAAGTTGTGTGATTTTTTTTAACATGAAAACTAGCCAATCAAAAAAATGTTTTGGTCTTATGCATTGGGGTTTACTGTTATGATTGACTGACATTAGGGCTGGGCGATATGGCAAAAAAATTAAATCTCGATTTTTTTTCAGAACGTTTGACCAATTCTCGATTTTTAACTAGTCAACTTGAAAATGTAACTACAACATGATTCAAGTAACTTTTTCTTTATTAACACTCTAGTTAAAGACATTTCTATTTCAAGTACACCACTGAAACACCACTGAATCATGTTAAGAGTAGAGTAAAATCTTATTATCATGCAAAAAGTTCAACAAATGCTGCTGACCCAAAAGTTTGGGACATTTGTTGCCATAGAGACAGAGCCCAGTTTCCGAGAAGATGAATGGATTCTTAAAGGCACCTCAGATGTGAGGGCAAATCCATTCCAAAAAGATCAATCAAGGGAGAGAAGGCTGTAGCTGAAACACGCCTTGACATGACCTGCTGGCCAATCAAAGAAATATAAAGAAGCGCTCTTTACAGTGAGCGGGCCTGTCTGTGGAAGAGAATGCCCTGACTCACACACATTTAAAGTTTCAGTGCACTTTTCATTTTAGCGCACATTAAAATAAAGTGTTTACAAACACTTCCAGATGTTATTTACTCCAAAACATCTACATTTCACATTTACAAGTGACAATCATGCATCCAAACAGATTACAATCATAAATCAAGCGTAGCGTTAGTTCTGGCAGGTCACGTTAGTCAGCTGATCCCCATCTACCTATAGGAATACGACACCTATCTAAGCATTCATATATATAAGGTCCCTCAGTATTATCAGCAGTTTTCGCATTGCTCAATAGCTAATTACCCTCCTCCATCCCCAGCTCCTCCTCTGTCAGTCAGGATGTAGCCTTCTGATTATCCTTTGAATCAGACTAATTCGAAATGTGTACATAAAATTATTGAACTTTAACGATATCTGCAATACATTTATGTTGGTTCTGTTCTGTTTTCCCTGGGGGGGGTTATCGCTGCTCTCCCTGCTCTCATCCATGCTAGGCTGCATGGATGCGCAGGGAGTTCTTGCACAGAACAGTGTTTGAGAGAGAGAGGGGGGCCTTTTACCTCAGAAAATGTTTGGAAAGCTTTTGAAATTTACATTATGAAATTCATATACACAAGCGAGCTTGGGTGGAGGTGTCAAAACATAGCTAAAGACTTCCAAATCTCCATTTCAAATGAAAAGCGCTGGCACGGTGGTCTTACCGGAGAAGAAATGAGCTTTGAAGCCTTTCTTGGAGACTGTGTTGTCGGATTTGAACTCAATTCGCATGTTGTTGTACTGGGAGGTGATGACCTCAGGGACTTCCGTACCGCAGTATTTCCCATGAAGCTTCGAGTCAGATGACAAGCCGCTCCGCACCTCAACATAGTCATACTTGCAAACCTGTGCAGATGAAATATACAAATAATACACTGATAAACATCCATCCTTCTGTCTGTGTGTTTGTCTATCTACCTACGATAACACACTCTCCTACACTGGCACATCCACGCACACACACATTTAGAGGGTCTCACCTCATTTCCCTCTAGTTCAAAGGTTTCAAACTGCATGGATATGCGGTACTGAGTGGGAGCCACCACTTGCCACACACAGTTCTTATTGGGAGGGTATTCCTTAGGCCAACCTGGGGTAGTAATTGTGCCGTTCAGCTTGGTCAGCAAGCCACCACAAGCAGCTGAAAGAGAAAAAGAGTGAGCACCAACGTTATTTTAGTATCACTAATCATGCTATTATAGTTTTTATTCAAATTTTGAATTCGCTTTTATTGTTATTTTCTGTTTTCATTTTAATTTTAGTTAACACTTTAGTAAATTTGTGTGTTTTTGTCATTTTGTTTATTTGGACCAGCTGGCTCCACTGAATCACAACCTGAGAGTATGATAAATAATAGATGTTCATATTTTCTATCGAGCTTTCAAAATACAGAACTGTGACAATGGGCGTATCGTTTCCAACATGCGCTGTATATGGTAGACCAATCACAACAGACTGGGCCATCTGACCAATCAGAGCAGAGTAGGCTCACCGAAAGGAGGGGTTTAGAGAGACTGAATCTTAGAAATGCTTCGAACGAATCACTTGAGAATTGCTGGAAAATGATGTGATATTAAATGCATATTCGGAGAAAACGAAAGTGTTTTTTGAGCTTGCATGCATGTAAACTTATTGCAGGAGACTCCCAAAACAATATCAGGAACCTTAAAAATGGCATAATAGGGGCACTTTAATAATTTTTTATTCAGTTTTAGTTTGAGTTGTTTTAGTACATCGAGGTAAACTAAATGAATGGCAGCTAGCTGAAATAAGTTTTTTTTATATTTTATTTTATTTCAATTAAAACTATCAGGCAATGATTAATTAAAAATGTTTTTTATGGTTTTCATTTTAGTTAACTATAATAACCCTTGTGAGAACAAAGCTTTAAAAACATAACAGTGAAAGGTTCTGTCTTCAGTGCTCTGGCAGTATACTGACTAATAAGCATTCAATTCAATGGAAACTATAGCACAGGTCTTTGATGGTTTTTGTGTTATTTTAGCATAACCACAACACATTGTACTTTATTAATGACAGAAATCATGTGGTTTCTAAACAGAGTGAGTGTGGCCTAAGTGCTGTTTGTTCTTGTTGTTTTCCTGTTGACTGCGGATGTTTTCCTGAACTATTCAGTTTGGCTTGAGCATCCGCTGAACATGTTTGAGTCAGGCAGACGGAAGCACCTGTGTGCAGTACGATCACACACACACACACACACACACACACACAAACACACTCTCTTACCTTCACAGCTCTTCTTGTCAGGGGCCAGTTCGTATCCAGGATCACAGGCACATTTGAAGCTTCCTAATGTGTTAACACATCTCTGTTCACAGCCCCCATTATCTGGCTTCAGACACTCGTCTTCCTCTGTTTTAATGACACAGACACAGAGTAACGTCAGTTGAATGGACAACTCATCAACATCTGATAGCACTGTTTTAGTTATGTGTGTGAACCTTTGAAGAAGTTTGCAGCAAAGCCTGCTTTATTAACCGTCCCATCAGAGATGAATTTCATCCAGAGAGTGTTGGAGGTGGAACGGATATCTTCAGGTTTATCATAGCCACAGAATCGGCCGATCAGAGGGCTGTTCTCAGACAATCCATCTCTAACTTCTAGATAGTCATATGCACAGCTGTCATGCCTCTCGATCTGCACAAACACAGGCACAATAAAGTATGTGTTAATGGCATTAGCATGTCTACGGCACCTTAGGTGTCAATGCCTAGGAAACAATCCAATAAAAACAGGATCTCAGGCGTCTCTGTGTATATTATATGCCAGGCTTTCAGTTCTGGTACACGTCCTGCACTTTATAGACTGTATGCGTGCAAAAGAAAGTGTGAATGCGTGTATGCAAAGGCAGAGAGTGTTTTCATTCCCTCTGAACAATTCGACACCTTTGACCTACTGACACACACAATGGTCTGCATATATACTTACGGTTTGACTTCTGACATTTTAAGGTAAATAATCAAACATGTCTGTCTTTTGGCCTCACACACCTGCAGTCTTATAGGAAATTCAACTTGACAAAGATGTGTGTCTATTTGTAAATGTATATCATAAAGTCTAACTTTAAACAGCACACATGTAAATAGCAACAACTATCCTCTTTTTTGCTGTCCTTCTCAGAATGAAAAGACAAGGGAAAAGGAGAAGAACAAGAGAGGAAGGCTAAAGTGAAAACAGAACTTGACTGGATATACATAAATTGAACACAGCCAAAAGAGAGGAGACAACAACCTCACCTCAAAGACCTGAAAGCTCAAGCCCACACTGTAGCCCTCGGACACTGTGATCCTCCACACACATTCCTTAGATGGACGGTAGTCATCTGGATAGTTTGGAGACTGAATCTGTCCAGAGTCCTTACTGATCTCCCCTCCACATATTGCTACCAGAGAGAGAGAGAGAGAAAGTTAGACTTTTACTTTGTCGTCAGAAATATTTTATGACATTTTCAATACCATTTTCATACTATTTCTTTAAAAATTATTATTTGTTAAAACCATATTGTACTACTTAATGCTGGTTTCTACCCATTTTTTTGATTCCGTAAAAAAGACCAGGTGTTATGGGTACAAACTCTCTCTCTGCTTGCCTACACTTGTATTCTGAGTGTGATTCATTGTTTTGTTTTTTTCAAAATTTGTTTGGACATCACAATAATTTTATCTGTTGTTATCTTCTGGGCATGATAACCGTGTAGTGTAAATCTGATATTGTGACAGCCATAACACACACACACACCTTCATAGACTGCTGCGAATCCCTTTCCAACCCAATTGCTGCTACTGCGGAACTCAATCCACATCCGGCTGTCTGTAGAGACCAACACTTCTGGAATTTTATCACCACAGAAACGACCTGCACACACACACACACACACACACACAATAAATAACAGTGCCTCATTAAGCATGCATTGCATTGTTTATACATATTGCTTAATATACTCCATTATATTCCTGGTGAATCCACCAGCATGTATGTACCCAGCAATGGCGCTTTCCTCCAGTATCCGTCACGAACCTCAATGTAGTCATACCAGCACAGGCTGCTCTTGTAGAGGTCCATAGTGGTGAAGTTTAACACTATCTGAAATGGGCAGCACACATGCAGCTGTCATATACGTCAAACTTCACGCATTAGATCAGCGTTTCTTTATCTGCAACCTTGTAATGAAGACAATTACAGGAAGAAATAGATTGAAAATTGCAGATGCAGATAAATGTGGAACAATTCAGTGCAATGAACCTCTCTAAAGTTACACACTTAAAGGGGTCATATGATGTTGCTAAAAAGAACATTATTTTGTGTATTTGGTGTAATGAAATGTGTTTATGCGGTTTAAGGTTAAAAAAACACATTATTTTCCACATACTGTACATTATTGTTTCTCCTCTATGCCCCGCCTTTCTGAAACGCGTCGATTTTTACAAAACTCCAGAGACGAGAAATTACCAACTGAGTCCTGTAGTGTTTCGCCACATGCTGGGAAGAGACCAACACAATAACCTGATTAATGAGCGTATGTTAAAAATTCCATTTATTACAAAAAAACTTGAATGTGTAACTTTAATTAGATGTTACTTTAGTAACCTCTTTGAAAGACTCAGTGAATGATTCGTTAGACTGATTCAAACTGTTTACTTTGACCAATTCATTAAAAGAACCAACTCAACAGAGTCATTCACTCATGAATCGGACTACACTGGACATGCTGTATGTTTGTTTTTTCATGCAACCGGGAAGACAACACAATAGAAAGATGTTCACAATTACAAATTCTTGTATCGTAGCACGGTATATTCAGCAGCGGCGGAGCGCCACCGCTAAATAGCAGTGCAGGAAACAGATACACACACACAATAAAGTAACAAAGACCTATTGACTGTTCTAATGAGATCTCAGGAGCCAAACAGTACAGGATAGGGGAGCAGACTCTCTGTTCAAGAAAAGCCAAATCATCTGCTAATATTTGCCAAAAGTTCCTCCCAATTAGCAATGTAGCGGTTGGCCAAACATTTGCCTGAGAAGCCTCTGTTTTTCATCACAGCTCATTGGACAGTGAATTGCGTACGGAGGTGCTTTTGGGTGTCAATTTCAAGGAAATATAAAGACATAGTCACAAGTCACACAACAATCCAGTGCACAGTCACACGGTAGATAAGCTGTTATCTTTGGCTTGGGTGGAGACAGTCACCTCTATTTCAGTCAAAACTTTGACTCATAACCTGTATGTAACAGCAGAGACAGGAACTTTCAACAGTAGTTTCCAAAACTTACAATAAAAATTTTATTATTTACTTTATTATTATTTACATCATTTACCATGTCACCCATGTCAATTTATTTTTCTTTTTTTTACCAAAAAAAAAAAAAAAAGCAGATGTTAGGCAGAATGTCCAAGCTGCTCTTTTCCATACAAAGAAAGTAAGTCAAGAACCAAAAAAAGACAAAAACTTCAGTTTTTTGGATCATTTTCTCTCCACCTACTTTGAACGGAAAAGTTTGAAGGGAACAGTTCAGTCATTCTATTTAACTTTTCATGTTGTGTTTCATTACAAAAAGAGTCTGGAATGGCTAGGTAAACTACTTGCTACAAATTGTCAAATAAAAGTGGCCATTCAGTTCACACATTTTGTCACAGACAGTGAATATGGTGGAAGAGAGAGAGCTTCGTCTTCGAATGTGAAGTAGGCCATGCGTCAAGCATTTACACACACACACCCTCACTAGTAGTGCATGAACTCAAAACAATACAGCAGTAAAATAACACACTCATGTGCCACTCACATGGACACACACACATGTAGGCAGTAGAGCGAGAGGGTCTTATCATACTCTTTGTCCTTCAAATGTCAGGGTGGCCCTCTTTTCTTTCCTGAGAGAAAAGCACATCCATCTACCTATCCACAACCCACTTGTCCTATGTAGGTTTGCAATTTAGTGTCTCCACTTCACCTACTCCACATGTCTTTGGATTGTGGGAGAAACCGGAGCATCGAGGGGAACCCACGACATCATGGAAAGACCATGCAAACTACACACAAGAAGGCCGCCTGGCTCAGCTGGGACTTAAACCAGGGAAGTTCTTGCTGTAAGGCGACAGTGCTACCCATTGGGCCACTGCAAGAAGTGCATCATAAAACTGACAAAAACAAATGATCTCATGCAAGCTAACACATCATATTAGCTAGAGACAATTATCTCCACATAAATTGAGGTCATCTTCCTGCAGTTAACACCCTTGGTCTTTCTTCATTTAAATTTTCACTCTCTCTCGCTCTCTCATACACACTCACACACTGTAGGCCTACCTGGGCATCTGTATAGCTTCTTGGCTTGGGATATATCTCCTTTGCTGAGTCTAGTTCTCTGACCGATAGCAGGCCTGACACCATTCTCATCACGAGAGGGAAGAATCGTGTCCAAAAACATTCCTCTACGGAAGAGAAAGACAAAGAGGAGAACATTTGTATTTGTATAGAAATTCTGAATTAAATTAACAGGTGTGAAATTTCTTGTGTGTGACAGATGTCTTACCTGGAGAAAGTGTTTCTGGCATAATGCATGATGCTGTCAAAATCATACGGCTCACCAAGAGAGTTGACATCCCCTGGTTCCATCTTAATGAAGTTATACTCCTGACCTGAGTGCGCACACATATATATTAAAACCGATAGGCTACATTCACAAAGCAAGTATTTAGAATTGATTGATAGGTGTGACTCTCGAATTTTCCTGTTCATACAACAGCAGCTCAAATTCTGTCTGTATGAACAAATAACTGAAGTCAAATATTTTCTATTCTTGTAACAGCCATGAATAATGCCTGTAACCATGACTAAATTAAATAGCAAAGGTGGTGATTTCAATATCACAGAAAATTCTTGACACAACTGACACACTGTTAGTTAAACACTGGTACAAAGCTCAAACTCATTCATCAAATCGAAATCTTAAAGAAAACGTTTGTGCTTGCTTTTGAGAAAAAAATTGTTGTGTGGTTTATTTTATTTTTAATGGACGGAGAAAAATTATGAGAAAATAATAAAAATATCTCTAACTTTATCATTTTGGTCTTGAAACGTTTGTGCTTGCTTTTGAGAAAAAAATTGTTGTGTGGTTTATTTTATTTTTAATGGACGGAGAAAAATGATGAGAAAATAATAAAAATATCTCTAACTTTATCATTTTGGTCTTTTGTTGAGTCATGTAAATTTAGGAAAGTAAATTTGCTTATAAAATGTGGTTATCATTGCTCAAATGTGTTTATGAACCAAGAGTGAATCCATATTCCACAGCTGTGTGAATGCACTCATACTGAACTAGCAGTTACCTGGTAGGATACAATGACTTGAGTGATGGGTCATACAGTACCTGGTTGGATGTTGTCTCGAATGATGGTCACATGATCGTCACGGTCAGGTCGTGTGTGCTCGTGCCAAAAGCCAATTACGTGTCCAAGTTCGTGAACAACAATGCCAAACTTGTCACAGTTCTTTCCAATGGATATTGCCTGGGGACCGTTGCCACGACGACCGACGTAAGAGCAACACCTTGAGAACCAAAAAAATTAAAAGTTAAAAGTCTAAAAATCTCAATTAAATGTCAGCGTCTTGTTGGCTCAACCCACTCTTGAATAACTCAGATTCTGGTTATGTCACAAGAGCATCATAAAGTACTACAATGATTGTAATGAGGGGGTGATGGGAGGTGAGCTGGGCTAATGCTTAGTCGTTTGGGGTAATGTAGTTTAGTGTGGGGTGAACAGGGGATAGTGTGAAATGATGAGAGCTGATTAATGGTGATTAGGGTGAGTTGGGGTTAGCTTTCAGATTCTTGCTGTGTTGTTTCCTTAACGACAAATAAGCACACATTGTTCACCTCTGACTGTGTGCCAATGCAATGAATCGCAAGAGAGGTAAGAGAAAGAAACAGGTGGGTCCCAAAATAAGTGCCAAAAGACAGTCTAAAGCAGTGGTTTTGCTTCAGATCCCAGATTTTAAGTTGGGCATCTACTGTACCAAAACTGTTCATTTTTCCCCTCCTGTCCGTGACCCTCAGAACAGACCTACAACCCATTTGTAGGTTGTGTGACTCACTAGTTAAGAACCACTTGTCTAAAGTATTGATGCAATATTGGGAGCAAAAGAATAACAATATATGGATACATGATTGTGTCGACAAAGCACTATTCAAGTTGCACTGTATTGTGTGTGTGTGTGTGTGTGTGTGTGTGTGCATTGCATTAAGCAGGTGAGAATATTTGGCACATTAAGGTGAATTGTTTCCCTTGCTGGTGTTTATATAAGCCTGCAAATCCGATTATTATTAACAGAAATATTGCCAGCAGCCTCACAACCCTGCTGACTCTAACGTTTGTGTTCTGCTCAACTGTTTTCATATGCCGACCAGTTACTGTATTTGATGTGCTGTTCATTTTGATTCTTTCAATTGCTTTTCTGAATAACAGTAGCAAGTTGGCATTTATACTGTATGGAATGAGCTGTCTAATCAGAAATTAATTCTTATTAAGATGCATTTTTGTGATTTCTACTATTACAAGTGGTCAGCACTAAAGGGAGAGGAGATCCTTGGTGAAATCTGAACACAATCTTAATACAAGGTGGAAACAGGGACAAAGACAGGTCAAAGCTGTGAAGTCAGAGTTCAAGGAATCGAGACGGAATCTCAATAGTCTACCATTAAGCATGCCTCCGACACTCAAACACGCCCACAAACAAAGCAGTAATCTCAATTCCACTCGCTCACTATTTATAACTTGGATTAGAACACCTTAATCCCTCATTTCATAGCCATTGATAGTGTGGAGTAGACACACAGAGAGAGAGAGAGAGAGAGAGAGAGAGAGATTCAAACAAATAAAAGGAAACAGACTGAAAATAAAACACATTCACCAGTCTAATACAAAAGACAGAAGAATGTTTAACCGAAACAAAAATTATAATGCTGCTTTGGAACCATTTATATTATGAAACAAAAAGTGCTATACAAATAAATTCAGTTGAACTGAAATGAATTGAAATTTTTAACTAGTGACGGATATGCAACCATCAAATATCTTTATATTTAATGCAGATTTGTGCAAAGGAGTCAGACATCAAGCCTGTCAACACTTTCTCAACATCCATGCACACATGGGCCCAAGCTACGTGCCAAATGCTTAAAAAGCACATACAGTCATGTAGAAGGTTAACGCTCAGTGCTTGTGTTGGTCTGTCAGCAGGTTTATAGCTAAATGACGTCTGCAGATTATAACAGATATGACCGCACTGAGATGGATAATATTATGCAATGCTCTCGCTACCTCTCGCCCCTCCAAACTAATCTAGCCTTGTCCTTCTGTCAATGGTCATTCTGCCTATTTCTCTGATTTGCCTCATTATTTCACCTCACCTTCCATAAGCATCATTCCAACACAGATATTTAACATCCTCAGTTTCCATTTCATTCCAGTTTCCATAACATTCATAGACTGATAACGCTCCTATTAGTGGTTAAACACCTTCTTATCAGGTGTTGTGTCATAATAAACATCGTTCTATGTGATCAAATAATCAATTAAAAGCAAAGTTTTCAGATACGAACAATCGGCAACAATGTTTATCTAGACTTATGCGATTTCCGTCTTCCCTTCTCCCTCTCTCTCTCTTCCTTGTTAACGCACTGCTAGGATTCCATTCCCAAGAACAATGGGTGGTTTGCTCACCGTGGTAACAGGGAAGGAAGGAAAGCCAGGCCGACCGTAGTCATCTCAGCTGACTCTCACTCCCTCGCTCTCTCAAACACACATACCTTTGTTTTAAACATAGGATACACTCATAACAATGAGAGCTGAGTATCTGAGTGAGTTCCTTAATGACCACCGCGCTTCAGTCAACATTTTTTACATCCAGTAACCTACTAGTGGAGCTCAGAAATAAAGGGCCCTATCATACACCCGGCGCAATGCGGCGCAAGGCGCGGCGCAAGTGTTTTTGCTAGTTTCAGCCCGACGCAGTTCTCATTTTTTCTAAAATCTGAAGTATTTTTCTTTGTTATTTAAAGAGTGCGTTAGTAATATGCGCCTATAGACGGGTGCACAACGCGCATACACTTTGCTTATTACACACATACAGGAACGCGCAGCAGCACACAAACATTTTTAAAAATGAAAAATTACATTCCGCCATGTAAATAGCGAACCCGCCATGGCGCGAGCGCAACTGGCTTTTAAAGGGGATGGGAGATGAGACTCTGATTGGTTTATTGCACGTTACACCCAAAAAACATCCATTACTCATTAAGAGAATAGGGACAACCCGTTTAGACCATGTGCCCGGGCACGCCGACCCTTTTCCCGTCGTTAAACTAGCAAAAGTGGAGTCGGACACGCCCTGAGTGCACCTGTGCTGTGCGCTTTAGACCATGTGCTTAGATCGTTAAAATAGGGCCCAAAGAATCAAATCTCTAAACTAGATTTTGTCCCCAAACCAAGCGTTTTGTATCCCAGCAAAGTGGAACTGATAGTTTTCGTACATTTTCAGCGCAGAAAAAATTTTTTGGGCCAACCAAAAAACAGTTTTGGTCTTTGTACTCCATCTCTAAAACTTGCTGGTCTCGTCCCAGGAACTTAAAAATTATGGTTTTCAGAGAACAAGAACAAATTAGTGATGACATAAAACTAGTTCACAAAATGTGTCACTTCCATTACAATCAACAAAACTGAAAACACTAGAAGAACCCAATGTGGCAACTGGGTATTGTGATGAGAGTAACAGATTATGGATTATCATAAAAGAGAAAATGTAGGCTGGGGACTTGGGTCTATGCATGCTTTTAGACTGGATTTTGAGATGTGGGTATTGCACTCAAATGTGGAGGCAGATGAACACAAACTTGCAGGGACAGGGTTTAAGAGGACTAAATGATTGGGGGGAGTCTGGCAAAAGGTGAAACATTCTTTATAAAATGAAACATGACCAGAATAATTGTTCACAATAAGATCTACAATATGCATTTAGAAAATGAACACGAACCCGCAGGGTCTGTAGGTGAAGACGATGTAGCTCTCCTCATCAGTTTTCTCAATGAAGGTCACACACGTCTGTTTCTCCCAGTGTCTCATTGCTTGTTTTAACATGGCCCTCTGACTTCCTGAAAAAAACACACAGAAACCATTATATGTAAATCACACACATTCATAGGTTGATGTTAAACACACACACACACTCAGGTCTCTTTACCAGTGAAGTTGCCTCCTATGACGTAAGGGATGACTCCTCCGGGCCAGATCTTCTCAGCTCGGGATGTGGCAGCACGAGGCACTCGAGACTTCACACCTCTGTCGCTATTTACACTCCTCCCACCAGCCTTGGAGCTCGACACATCTTTACGGCTGTTGACTGGCCACGACTCTACACCATAGAGAGAGATGATAGAACAGTAGAAAACATCTTACAGGAACATGAAATCGAATGCCAAACCACCCCAAGTAATGAGAGTTGGGATTAAATATATTTAACTGCTGAAACATGTCTCACTGTCAAAATCAGGTAGTCTTTCTTGAGAGTTTGTTCTCTGAAGGTTAAACATACACATGCACAATGAAATCCATCCTGCCAACACATGACAGCACTATTGATATGATTCCAGTGCAATAAAGCTGCACTAATAGGCCTGTTAACAGATTAAAATGACCAATTGTGAATAATGGCATGATTTTTTCAGATATTTTGTTGTTCAGTTTTCGCAAACACAGGTTATATAGCTTCCTCAAACTGCATTAAAACGCATGGACACGAACACTAAATATAAATCTGCATTCATTAAATAAAAAGAAAATAAATCTTACATTTGTACAAATTATAGTGTTTCTTGTGGGAGACATTTCATAGTTATTGAGCTTTCATGATAATTGATATCAGCCATACAAAAGCTGCAAATCATTTTACATTTCTTACATTTAAATAAATTTGCTGCTAGACCTTTTCTTGGAGAAATATTATAAATAATTGCTCTCAGAACTGTTAGAAACTGTATTTCAATCATGACAACTCTCGGAACATTTTAGCATGGTGATGGATATGACAATGTTAATGTATTTGGTCTTGGCGGAACAGATCTGCTTCGTTGCTGCTGTTGGTTATTGCTGTAGTTGTAGATTATTGCTGCTGCTGCAAGCAAGTACAGGAACTTGCTACTGCCAATACATATGCCGATGCGGTGCTGTGAGTATTTAAGACATACTGCTGCTGCACAAATAGCATATAAAATAACCCCGTAGCAGATCTATACAGGTGGAGCTGGGGAAGGTGGAGGGTTTCAGAGAAACCGCGCTGCAGGAATCTCAATTGAATGCTAACCAGCCATATAAATGCAAGGCAGTAAGCTCATTGGCTGCATATGCAGCATGAACCAATCAGCTTGTGCCAAGTCGTTTAACTCTCTGAATATCATCAGTTACGTTAACACCCCGTCAGACTGCGCCATCTAGAGTTTCATGACTGAACTATATATTTATACTGAATTTGTATTGTAGTTCGAATTTAAGAAAGGGATGGGGTTTGAAGTTTTTAGAGAAGTCCTGCATTCGTCACAAAAGCAAAGTGTTGTTTCACCGAAAGATCGAGATATGTCAATAATATATCAAATAGAAACATTATGCATGGATGAATCGTTCACAATAAGATCAACAAGATGAACTGATAAAATAGATAGGGTGAATAATGCTATTTGTAAATGTTGATAAAGAGGTGCTCGAAGCTTACTAACAGTGCTGTGGGGTAAATTTAAAAAGAGTTGAGAAACAATCCATTGTTTTAAACTTACCAAAACCTAACCGTCGTATTCTGTCAAGCAACAGATATAATGAACCTCTCTTCTTACTGGGATTATGCTCTCCTAGACCACCTGAGAGAAAGAAACATACAAGGGAGTTATTTTGAGAATGTTGTGAGAGTGATATAATTTTGTGAGAACACTGTGTGAGTATTTTTGTTACGTGTTGAGTAAACTTTCCTTGAATCAAGTTTAAAACTGCACTGGTGCCGTTATAATGTTACAAGAACACTGCCAGTGAGTCAAGAAACTTCCATGCCATTCTCACACCTATTTCATCCATCTATCCTCACCTCTCCTCATCCTCCCATTGACCAGTCTCTTCTCCTTCATATAACTCACCAACATCTCACCAACTCTTGTCTTTCACTCCCAGGGTTCTCGCTCAACATCTCTATTCATGCATCTCAGTTTCTCTGCTATCTTCCTTTTGCATTTACCCCCTCTCGCGGACAGGAAAGTGAGGAACAAACAATACTCTCTGAATCCAAGACACAGGAAAAGTCTGAGCTTTGGGATTAATGTGCGCACAGACGCTCTATCTCACAAACATAACACTAGCAGGTATACAAGCGTGTGCTGTTGTCTCCATGACAGCATCCTGATGAATCTGGAAATAGCCAAGAAAGACCTGTCCTGACTGGTTTGAACATGCATCAGTTCTCCTGCTATTTCTGGTCCTGATGCAGTTTGCCCTTCTGCCCCGGTGGCACATCCTGTAACAACCCCAGTCAGAACGGAAACGCAAAGCTGAATCCTTATCGTCTTTTTTGCCTCACTTCCATCTTTTGCTGCCAGACCCAGACGATGATAAAGGTGATGTTGCTGACAACGTTGCTACCCAGCAAGGTACCCAGTAAGAACGGAAACGCAAAGCTGAATCCTTATCGTCTTTTTTGCCTCACTTCCATCTTTTGCTGCCAGACCCAGACGATGATAAAGGTGATGTTGCTGACAACGTTGCTACCCAGCAAGGTAAATTTCTCTTAGTTGGCTGTTAGTCTGTGAGTAGTCATCACTCATTCCAGTGATTGTATCCTGTTTTAGACACTGAGTTTACCTTAACAATGTGCCACTGGGAAAGACACACACACACACACACACACACATTTTGACTTCGGTCAGTTTAGATAACAGCAAGGAAGGACTTTGTTAACAATGTTTATTCTATCTCACAAAGAAACAAACATTTGCACACACATACGCTTCTGCACTTTTCCCATTACATAAGGAGTAGAAGACAAAGACCTTGCTATGCAAACACACTCACGGTTGTTTGCTGATGGTGCAGTGGAGTTGAGACAGGAGCATTTATCAAGTCTAATCACCTGAAGCTATACACTCCCAATATCCCCACACATTCTTCAACTTCAATTCGACTTTAATAAGTTTAAATCACCCACAGCCCACAACACAATCATGTCCATCCTTATAACCAATGCTCCCTCAAGTGTGTAACTTTTACCTTTTATGTGCTATTTATATTTGATTTGACTCTTGATGTAACTAAATTATGAACATTTTAGGTTACCGGAGAAATTTTTTTTACAGTGCTGTATTACTTACCAAGAAACTCTATTAAAAATCATTTAAAAATCTCATGCAGATCAGTTCAATTCTTTATAATAATATAATATAATACAATATGAAAAAAATGAAGCATTATTGCTCATGAATTCCCATTTTGAGGTCAATTATTTGTTAGGCTTATAATATAACAATGTAATATGTGACCCTGGACCACAAAACCAGTCTTAAGTCGCTTGGGTATATTTTTAGCAATAGCCAAAAAAACATTGTATGGGTCAAAATTATCGATTTTTCTTTTATGCCAAAAATCATTAGGATATTAATAAAGATCAGGTTCCATGAAGATATTTTGTAAATATCCTACCATAATTATATAAAAAACAAATATTTCTTATATAGTTATCTAAACATCCCTATGTAGTAGAGTTTGCACAGTACTACACCTGTGTGTAACTGTAAATGTCACAGAGTTTTGTTACCGTTCTGTGCTCATCATCCACTATTTCCATCACTTAATCAAGCCACTCTTCTTTAAAACATGATGATGTTTTACGTTGTCATTACGTTTGCGTTGGCTCTCGTGTTGAGCTATTTCGTCCGCAAATATTAAAGTATTCGATTTCTACAGCGACTGATTTGGCGCTCATCATTCTCTTTCTATGAAACCTGTAAACCGCATTCATCTGTTCCATAGCGATACCAACTCTATAGCAGTTTACCCGAGCATTGCAATTATTTAGCATTTACTAGAATTCAAATGGCTTTTCCAACTCATTTTTGCGTCTGTCCTGTGTGCTGCATATAATTTCTTCTGCACGCACACAGCTTAGAGAGAACATTGCTTATGACAACCTTATGACAACTCAGCTTCTCAGACTGATCGAGACATTAGCTTAAATACACAATCCACAGAGGCTAGCATATGTGTGTGTGTGTGTGTGTGTGTGTGTGTGTTTCTGTGTGTCACCCTGCACTCAAAACTACACAGAGACCAGTGCTAGATCAGAGCATTTAACGCCTGGAGGAAGGTCTGATTCCAAACGTGACATCAGGATGAAAAAAGCACATGGGTGGTTTCAAGGACTGAGTCGAACAGAAGCTCAAACCTTGAACCTTACTGTAGAAAGAGTCATTGTTGTTGTTCAGCACCAGAAACAACCCTCAACCCTCAGCAGCTGCTGACTGCAGCTTTAACCTCATCTACCGAACATCTGCTACTGAACACAGCTGAAAAAACATGTGCATTAGAACCTCAAACTAAATTGAGGACCTTTCATTTTTTAAATCCAGATTATGTGACAGATTTGTCAGGTAATAATATGTCGGGCTCTATTCAAAAAATACTAGACTGAATGACTAGAAATAACATTAAACCTTTAGCAGCCTTATTACTTTTTTAAATGGCAAATTACATAATAAAGATGATTGTTCAGAAGCAATGAACTATAATATTTAGAAAACTGTTGAGAATATTTAAAATGCATATAGATGTAAGTCTCAGACAGACGATTTACTAAGTCTGATTCAAACTGCTAAATCATGAGTTTGAGGCTTTTTAACAAATCTTAAAAAGAACCAGTTCGTAACAGTCATTAGTTCACAAATCTGCCAATTCTAAACTATTGTCGACAACTGCAGTGTGGAGCCCTGTGATATCCCATGTGTCTGATTATCCCATCTGATTAACAAGGGTTTAGAAGCACCTAACCCTGATCGTAAGCTTAAAACAGATATTTCCTGAAAAGTTATGCCTCAATTCTGATTGGGTAATTGGAATGTTGTTCCAGGATCAACACGGATGTTGATCCAGGAGCATGTTGTACTTGGTGAAATCACGGTCACTGTGTCTTACCCGACATGTGTCCTTGTCTCCCATGGGACTGCTGTGAAAGCTCTATTGTTCCATCGATCTGAAAAATTTTCAAGTCCTCTTCATCCAAGGCAATATCTCCCCAAAATACAGCTGGAAAAAGAAAGAGACAAGGATATTATTAGAGGACACAAACACAGGCTCTTTTGCAGCACCATAGATTGATGTTCTATGTGCTGGCAGACACGTCTGAGACTCAGACCAGCGTGGCCTGAGCTATTGACTGATTCTAATTTAAGGTTTGCTGCATATGCAATCGATTGACAAGTTAACATGAGAGGAAACATCTTGGGTTGGCAACTTGTCCTTCGCTCTTTCACCCTCAGACGCTGATTAAAAATTAACAAGCGGATGTCAGGGAACATGTACATACTTCCTGTTGCGATCTTACCAACTCTGTTCACATTATGTCCATATTGCGCATGTCCCAACATTCCTAACGTTAAGCTACCGTCATGACATCATACATCATTAGCCTGTCGCCCAGGAGGTCATAGAGATGGCCATGAAAAAGGAGATAATACTGGGAACTACGCCATTTGTGTGTGTGAGTAGTTTTGGCAGGGAATTCACTCCTCAACCTTGATAAAAAACAATAAACAATGAGGATTATGGTTTAAGCTATCTTGATTGTTCCATATTGGAATACACTCTTCCCACGTGTGTGTGTGTGTATGCGTATGTACACGTAATGGTGGACTGTACCTTTAGGCCACCACTATTGTTTCTCATGCATTGTTTGTGAGTGGATGCACACGTGTGTGTACAAGCATCCATCCCTCCCCCATCAACTCCTCAGACAATATTCAGCTTTAATCTGTGACTGTGATCCGTTTCACATTCATATAAAGCTGGAGCCTCCCGTGGATCACACCCTTCAGAGAACTAATATTAGCACTGATCTAACTCCACTCTACTTATCTGTGGGACTCTCTGCTACAGTATAAAACAAAATGAACCTTATAAAATAAATAAATAAATATATTTTTTTATGAATTTAAATGTATAATTTCTATAGTTAGATTACTTAATATGTATTTTTAAATATTTTTTACATTTTAAATAATATTTAAAAAATATGATTTATCATAAATTTTGTCACATTTAAATGTAATCTTATTTCATCAAATGCTTACAAAGAAAATTTGCAACAGTAGCTAAAAAAATTATACAGTTGTTATAATTATACAGGAAATTTCAAGAAAAGCATATTCATATTTTATTTTTAAAGATGCAATTGCAAAGTTGACTTTTAATAGCAAATCACTGTGTGGTCTCACATTGTTTCTTCCACATTATAAGATTGCAACCTCATTCATCCACCAACATTAAAGTGGGCAAATTATAATTTAAATAATTTTATACTTAAAAGCTGACATGAGGCCTCTGCAGTTTTCATAACAGCTTTGACAATGAGACAAGACAGTGCAAAATATGTATCCAGATGAAAAAGACAAAGTGCTTAGATGTGACTACAGAGGAAAAGGCTTTGTGTTGAATTTGTACATTGATTTGGGAAGTCTGGAACTGAAGCCCTGTAATGCCTCAGCAATCATGTATTCGCTTAACATCAATGAGTCTTTGACTGCACATAACTTAGCACCAGTCAATAACTTCAGCCGTGATGATCGATAAACACAGAGCTGAGGCTGTACTTAAGAATTATGAACTGTAGGAGGGAAATCGGATGGGTTTTGACTAACATGTGACCATCACAGTGACATGTGGATTGTTAACTGTAACAGCTTTACATCTGCTCAGATGGGAACAAAGAGACCTCGGCAGAATGTGTCATCTGGAGAGGAATAAAAAGGTTTTGGCAAATATGAAATGATAATCTCCAAGGTTACTGTAGCGCGGCGGGAGGTGTGATTTAATCTGGGTGCAGTGATATCCGCAGATAAAATTGTGTATTAAAACGGGAGATTATCCTGAAGGTCACACTACAGTTCCAAATGAGACTCTCCAGGTTATCCTGGAAACATCCAAGTCATTTTCACTGTTTCCTTTCAATGATTTAAAGGGGTCATATGATGCGATTTCAAGTTTCCCTTTCTCTTTGGAGTGTTACAAGCTCTTGGTGCATAAAGAAGATCTGTAAAGTTGCAAAGACTAAAGTCTCAAATCCAAAGAGATATTCTTTATAAAAGTTAAGAGTCAACCACGCCTACCTAAAACGGCTTGTTCTAACACGCCCCCACATTTGTCAAAGGAGGGGGCTTTGTTGAAAACGACGTGTTTGAGAGAGGCGGGGCATAGAGGACCTACAATAATGTACAGTATTTTTTTTAACATTAAAGCATGTCAACATATTCTGTTACACCAAATACACAAAATAATGATCTTTAAAATAGCATCATATGACCCCTTTAAGAGTTGGAGGAGAGCACTACTGTAACTAACTGTGCATTCAATTTGAGTAAACTTGTCTCAGCAAGTACATAGAGACTCTTTGAAGCATTTTTTTGCATTGCAAATCTCATCAAAAGTAATAAAAAAGGTGAATCAAAAGTGATACATTCAGTTAACCACTTCAGAATCTAGTTTCTCAGATAAAAGCTCTGTTCTAAATCCCGGTGACTTGCCTACCTAAACAGCATTTTCAGCCATTATAAGAGGTGACAAAGGTAGGCAGCATAATTATGATCAATCCAAAATGGTGGATAAAGCAAGAGAAATGTTGATTATAAATATACTTATGTTTTATTTTATATAATATATGTGGTAATATACACACCCATACATATTTGTGTCTCTGCGTGTCTGTGTGTACCTGGTATTCCCTACGTTTTGGGAACCAAATGTCCCCAAAAGGATAGTAATACCAGTAAATTTTGACCTTGTGGGGACATTTTTGGTCCCCATGAGGAAACAAGCTTATAAATCATACAGAATGAAGTTTTTTGAAAATCTAAAAATGCCTGTAGTTTTGTGTGAGGGGTAGGTTTAGGGCTAGGGATAGAAAATACAGTTTGTACAGTAGAAAAACCATTACTCCTCCCCATAATGACAGGAATAACCGTGTGTGTGTGTGTGTGTGTGTGTGTAAATATACACAAGTGTATATTATCTTAACAACACACTAATGTCAAGCTTTATTACTCTCAACTGTCTATGATAGCAAAACAGCTCATTAGGCTTTGGAACAGAGCTGAAGACTGTACTTGAATCAAGTATGGCCACTGATCATCTTCTCTTGTCGTCAATCCCTTCAGCTTGACTGACAAACTGTTTTTATGTACAGAGACGGCAGATGCTGTGGAGAATCCTGTAGGGAGGCACCGATCAACACACACTATGGGTTTAGAAAGTCTGACCATATGTTGATGCTTCATTACTGTGATGTCAGTTTAATACAGAGAATCCCTTCCTCATTAAACGCACAGAAACATGCAGCTGAGTCTGATGAATGAGTATCATGGGAGCTGAAGGATGAGTGTGGTTTTTCTGTTTATCAGTGACACGCGTAACTAAAGACATCTACGCCACATGTCAGAGAGACATGACGCAAAGCATTTTGGGTGACAGCCCAAAAAGCATTCCTGCGAGCTTGATCACAAAAAGAATCAGGGACAGACAGACACACACACACAAAACACATATGCATCCGAACAATTCAAATAACTGCTTGATGTCACCTGCATCCGATTTACAATGTTAAAAACGGATGTCTTGTCTTTTTTAGACAAGCATTAATCAGAGCAGTAACCTGAACAATGACATTTATGTGTCTATACATGACACCTGGCCAACTGAAAAAGGAATATTTTAAAAAGATTTTCATTGGTCCTTAGATTACACTTAAGCGAAAATGCATTTGCATCCCACTGCTCAAGAGAGTCAGACTGAACAATGAGCATCAAGAGCCCCGTTTACACCTGGTTTTAAGATCTGTCTCTGTGATTCTGTGATGAGATCACAAGTGGTCACAAGTGGACGCATTGCTGTTTACACCTTGCAGTAACATGTACCTCAAATGTGTCTCTTGTGACCACTTGTGACTGAAGAGTCTCTAATTTTGAAACGACTTAAATCACTCACTACATCAGTGTGTTACTATAAGGTCTATAAGGTGCAAAAAAAAAAGACATAAAAGCACAAAAAGTCTACATACTTGGTTCCAAATATATATTTATACAAAAACAGTGTGCAGTGCAACAGCCAAAAACGTCACATCTGCATGTGCATGGCTGCAGCAATGGTAATTTAAAAGGGATGAATTTAAAGATGCAAGATCCATTAAGTTTTTGCATGTAGTCTTTTTCATTTTTTTAGATGGACATAACTGACTTTACATAAGCGATTACTCAACCACCCCCACTGCTTCTCAAGGGTAGGTACTTGATTGTGCACCCAACAAAATGACGCTGATGCGTCAGAGGATTTGGGAATAAATTACTTCAAATGTAGTTTATCATTGCACAAAAAACAGAAAGCACAAGCTTTTGTATCAGTTTATGTTAAAACGCTAAATATAATGACAGAGGACAAGAAAATAGTGAAGCTATTTAAGTGTCAAAAAGTGTTTTTCTTAAAATAGTTAACTGTACGTATGTAGTCTTTGTATTTAATAGAGAGAAAAAATCAGTGAAGTGTAAAATGAACAAAAGTCAACATCCTATAGTATGACAAAGGCTTATTAAATCAATTAATCCCTTTTCTAAAAACATTGACCATATCATATTATATTATTGCTTTGCTTTGAGCAAATGTAGATATTTTGGGACTATCATTGACAATTTGCAAGCTTAGTTGTTCATACTGTCTACCACAGAGTCTGATCTTTTTTTTTTCAATGATCATTTCAATGAGATAAAGACTTTACACTACAAATGCACTCCAAATATGCAGTAATTAGATCACAAAATGTTCAATATACAGAGTCAATATACATCTGTATTTATCACTAACTACTTGTAATCGTCCAAAACGGATGTTAAAACAGGTCTGGGAGAGACCAGCAATCACTGTCATCACACTCTCAGCAAATGTGCCACTATGTGTATGAGAGACAGACTGAAAGACTTCAGTCAGTGCCATTGTCGGAGCATCAAAGTACCTTTTCACACATCAGGATGTGTAAAGGCGTAATT